CCCCAAAACCCCAAAACCCCAAAACCCCAAAACCCCATAAATTCAAAAAAATCTTGAAATTTAAAGATAAAAAGTAAGTGGATCAATATCTTCTGGAAGAGTTTATCTAACATTTTGGCTTTAGAAATCAACCATGCAGCCTATCACCATCAATTTCAATCAATATTGTTCAAATGACTCAGGAATGAGGCAAAGCTCTATGGGATGACATGGCAGCCATCTCTATGGAGGAGTCAACCCCTCAGCTACTTCTTTCTCTATGCCAATGAGATTGCTTGAAATGCCACCGATTGAAGGTACTTTTATTCGTTATGACTTTTATAGCTTACTTAAGCTTCATTAATGGTTTGGAATCGCTCAATAATAGAGCAAGTTTCGTGCCGGTTCTTGATTCTCCCACCCCTCCAGCAGGTAAGATCATTAAGTTTGTTCCATTAATTGATGTCTTCTTGGTCTCAGATGAGGCAAAAACTCAAGTTTTAATTAAAAAAATTCTGAAGAAATATCTAGACTGAAATTTAGACTTATTATTATGGCTATTTATGTCAATGAGCTAGGGTATTAGGTGTCCGCTAACCAATCGTTTATTTTTGGCATTTAGCGTACAAAACTGTGCTATGTATTCTGGAGTAAACCAACAGTTGTTCTTCCTAACTTTTAGTCCTGTTTATGCCCGGAAGAGTCTAAAAACACCTCATCGCATGCACAGAAAGTGATAATTTATGACTATGTCTTAATTTTCGACAATTACTAGTCGAGTGTTTATTTAAGTTTATTTCACTTTTTCATGCATGCTTAAAAGATTCAAATAACCTTTTTATACAGGAAATCAAGCTAAATGCCAGCTCAAGCCACTCAATACTCTTTGTGAGTCTCTGAACAATGAAGATATCCCAAAATTTACTGCTAATAGTACTGAATGCATTTCTGAAGCTGGCAGCTCCAAAGGGCAATCCAGTAAGTTTGTCGAGAAAAAGGAAAAATCTAAACCGACAAGTCATCGGGAAGGACTTCTGACCAATGAGACCCCTGATATTCTAAAGAAATATAAATATGAATTCAGTTATGTATCAAGCTGAGGTCCAAACAGGAAGAAGAGAATCATTCATTGTGGATATGCAGGATGCTCTAAGACCTTCATTAAAGCTTGGAACTTCGTCGATCATGCTCGTATGCATCTAGGAGAGAGGCCATTTGCTTGCCAGCTATGCGCTTCTCGGTTTACCCAGAAAGGTAATCTGAAGAAGCATATGAAGAAGCATTTGCAAGCTGAGGAAGAAGAGAGAGCTTCCAAATAACCTTAATTTATCTCTTTTAAACTTTGACAATATCTGATATTTTCATTTTATTTCAGTCTTAAATTAACCTGTTCGAGATAAGATTTTCTTGGAATTATTATAAGAACCTTGAACATCGGGAAGAACTTCTGACGTAGTTGGTCAGAAGTCCTTCCCTATCACGGAAAGGCACTCAAATTATTTTATAGAACTTCATTTTAGGTAATTTAAGAGACATATCCTGAAAAATTTCCAGTATTTTAAGGGGAATTTTATGCACGGCCAGTGTTTATTATAATAAGTCCCATCTGTTGCATTAGTAGGACACTGGCTCACAAGACAGTTATGAAGTGTCTCCAAGTCGGTCCTTCTGGGAAAAGGTCAGCAACGTATGAAAATGGATCTCAGCAATGACTTCGAGCAGAAGACCTTAAGTAAATTGTTAAACCGACTTCAGAAAGGTTTGAATTAATTATGAATTATATACAATACAAATTTGCTAACGTTAGGCCGAACGTTCGGAGGTAAAGTTTTTAAAATACCCAGATTTCTTATAGCAAAATGTTGGTCACCAGGAAAGAGTCATGGTCTATAATAATTACAAAATTAGCCTATTAGCAATGCTTATATCTCTAGCTATCTTTAGTTTTATATCGAGTTTCCTATTTTGTCATAAATTATGAATTTTCTGAGAACAGCATATGAATCTTATTAAAGCTGAAAAGAGAGTTCTAATGGTTAATATTTTCGCGGTTAGACAGCCATTGCATTTGTTCGATCAAATTAGCATAAAATCTCTACCTTTAAATCAGGTTTTCAGGTGATAACAAAGAAATATAACTCGACCCTTAGTTTATTAGCCTGAATCCGTGCTCAGAGAGATAGAAGAGGTCTTTACCAACTTTATGTTTAAAAATGGTTTAATTAAGAATAATCGAAGTTGATAAGACCTTTATAGCAAGAAATAAAATATTGGGGGAAACAGTTTAGGGGTTTTGTTTGAAAATATTAAGTTAGGATCAGGGGCCACTGGTTTTAGGTGATTTTTATATCTTCTGAGAGGTTCGGAGGTGACAAATTAGCAAAAAATTGCTTGCTAATGGCTCTTGATGAAGTGAAGAAGAAGCCTCATGAAAACCTCTATTTTAATAACAAGTTCACCTAATAATTTTAGTATCGGCCTGTGATAATATTTATTCTAAAATTACTAGTTTGATAAATTTGTAATTTATTTGAGTCCCAAAAGGCTCTTATAACTCCCAAGTCTTTAAATCTCAGAATTTTCAGAAATATCTAGTATGAGGCTCTATAAAATCAGTACTTTACAATACTAAATTGCCACAATTTTCATATAATAATTTTCGCTAAGAGAAATCAAGGGTAATCCTGCTAGCTCAAAAGATGGGTAATAAACCCTTCAGAAGTCGTTTTACTCTCTAAAACAGATAAATTCTTCTAAATTTGCGGCAATTAATAATTTCAGCTATCCCAGAATGGTGTCCGGACTGGTCAGGTGTGAGCATGGGTTCATAGGCTACCATCTATCCTCGAGTCACCAGGAAAAAATGAGCAACTTTTAATGAAGTGCTAATAATGCTCCTTTTTGGTACTATTCAATTCTGGATACTCTTTGTGGGGTTTTGGGGTTTTGGGGTTTTGGGG